AGTGCAGCCGAAGAACAAGTGCAGGCACGATCTGTTAGTCACAGCGGTCTGCACCGCTCTCCCTGCCAGCGAGCCCCGTCTGAAGAGATCTCCTACAAACCTGAATTAAGGAGCTGTTGCAATAGGTAATTATTCACTGTAGGCTCTGGGTCCCTCCCGAGGACCAAGGAGTATTTCGAAATTCACAGAGCTTCTTTTAAGCTGCTTTGGCTAAATGCCTGGGTTGAATGTATTTGAAGAAGGGTTGCTGTAGGAGAAAGACCTTGCTGACTTTTGCGCAGTTCTGGAGATTAAAAAATCAAAAGGGAGAGTGACAGAATGAGTTGAACTCTGGGGGAATGTGTGCTCTGTAGAGGAACCTCTTGGCAAGTTGACATTGGTGTGCAGAAGAGGGGTACAGTACTGCCCCTGTACATAGAGACACTGGGGCCATCAGTGTTAGAGGAGATAATTAGGTAAGCATGTGGGATGCTGCCAGAGTTGTTTTAAGAAGCTGCTGTTTCCATATACCAGTGGAGATCTCAGTGGAGGTGTCTCACATACCTTTGTGTTCCTCCTGTGACAACAGCACCACATAGGTCTGAAGCCAGATTTGCAAAACTTATTGCTATGACTGACATAGTCTGATTTGTCTTATTTAAGTAGGGACCAAACCACAAACCAAGCAATGGTGAGTGGGTGTCTGTAGATTTTGGCTTAAATGAATCGGACTGTTTCTCAGACTGAGTAAGTGACAAAAGGAAAACTGAAGTCTCCTGAGTATAGTAATCCTGTGCCGAGGCCACAGGAGTGTGATACAGTTCTTATTTAGATAGTCATAATTGAAAATTGGGCCCAAAATACTTGCGTAAATAAACTGAGTTCAAAGAGAGGGTGGTCATGTGAAGTTAAAGTTTTCCATGAGGACTAGAGAGGCCTAATATAAGCCAAGATATTATCTTTCTTTGGGATAGGAGTGCCTTGGACTAGTTAATATTTCAAGTTTATGTGCTCATAGTAAATAGAGTCTCAGTAACTCACAACCTCATTTTACTTGTTTTTAATTTTTACTCTTTAAAATGTTTAGAAAAACTTGATGTAGTAGCTTAGAAGGTTTATTCTCTAGACTAAAAATGTTTAATGGCTTGGATTTTGGAAATACAGCACAAGTTAGTTTTAAAAAAAAAATAATAATTGAACCAGGGAGCAGTCTCCCATGTGCTTGTAACCTGGGGCCCCTGTGTTGGAAACCTCACCTCCCTGAGTAACTTCACCTAGATGAATAGACTCTGTGTACAGTAGGAGCTCTCATTCTGCATAAAGCCATTCACAGACATCGATATCTGTGAGACTGCAACCTCAGGCACAAGGGCTTGGTGGTACCCTAACACACTGTAGTATTCTAACACACACTGTAGTATTCTAGCAGCTGCCTATAAGAACAAAGCTGTCTTGGGAGGAGAAACTTGCCAAGTCATAACTCTTGCATAATCAGAGCTGAGAACCAAGAAACTGTGGCTGTTAAAAAGCAGCACACTGCGTTAGAGCAGTTCAGTGGCCTGTGGGGTTGGGTTTTGTCAAGGAACAAAGTGCAAATAGAAGGACAGAGTTCAGGTTTGTTTTTTGAGTCTTTGTGAACAAATATCTTGGGAAACCTCTGTTCCACACAGAAAACAAATCTGTCCAGTGTTTATTTTAACAGCAGAAATAAAGCTTGCCATGCGAAAGTACTCTTGATGTGGCCCTTGGATTTCTGTCGCTGTTTCCTTCCTTCCTGGGGAAGAAAGCTAATAAAGAGGATGGCAATGTATTAAAATTAATAGTGCCAGGAATATGAGCTGTCATTAAAATAATGTCCATTAACCCCCATTTTTCAGAAAAAGGGTGAGAAACAGGCAACTGGACCTGAACTCATAAAATCTAAAAACAAACAGTGCTAACCTATTTTGGTGGAATTTGGGGGAAGAGTTTGGTCATGCTTTCAAATTCTTTTGTATGACCATAATTAATGTTCATGCCCTTAGAACACATGCCTTTAAATCCCAGATATTAACCTTTATTTTTATCCTCAGGTAGATTTCCTTAGGACCTGGGGCTTTCAGAAAAATACCAGTTAGTGTGAAACTAGGGATAAACTGTGGTTATTTTCAAGACTTTTAGGAGAGATCCTGTATGCTATATTAGTACCTCTCTTCTAGTTGTGTTGTAGAAATGCAGGATACATGTACTGATGATGTTGGCAGTTTTTAACTCAGGTTGTGTTTATGTCTATTGCAGCTCAAGATGTCTAAAAAAATCCATGGAGGCTCTGTTGTGGAGATGCAAGGAGATGAAATGACACGGGTCATCTGGGAACTGATTAAAGAAAAGCTGATTTTTCCTTATGTAGATCTGGATTTGCACAGGTAATGGCTTTTTATGACATGCAGACACTTTATACTGCAATTTGCATGTGATGCTAGGCATTGATCATGTTTCCCTTAGCACTGTGAGCCTTATAGTTCCTCCCGCACCTGGTGATGCAGCCCTTTTTATACTAGTACAGTTCCCAGCAGACTCCCCTGGTTAACTTACCTAAGGGCCAGCCTCATTAAGTACTCTGGAAAGCACGGCCTTGTGGTGAAGGTATTTTGCCAAAGTCTAGCAGCCCCTCTGGGGTTCCCCACAGCAGTAAGTAGTGGATGCTTAGTTGTGAGTTAGCTTTTTTTTCTATACTGTGCCTCTAAGAAGGTCTCTCATGGATGTGGTCTGCATTTTTATCTCCTGTGTCTTGGCTTTCCAGTACCCGGGCAGTCTGCATGGCTTCCTGCAGCCTAAATAATTAGAAACATGGGGTGTTTCAGCCACTCCCTGACTTGAAGCCTGGCATCTGTGGACTCTGAGTAGATTTATGGCTTCTTGCCATCTCTGAAGATCTGCCCAGAGGGCAACAAGGGTGGTTGCAGGGCACAGACTCTGCCCTGATGTCTGTAAACTTGAGCTCTGCTGCTGACAGTGTGAGCTAACTGTTGCAATTATTCCTGGAGCCTAGGCTGTGCTTCTGTGCTCCCTTCTGGAAAAAGTAAATACCAGCAGCTGGTATGGCAAAAGGGACATGCTGTCTACAGCACTTTCTAGCACTTCAGTTGTTTCTTCCCTTTCTAGCCACTGAGCTATAACTATTAGAGAAGTATCCGGCTGCATTGCTCCTAGCCATGTGGACAGAGGCCTTCAATGCTGTCTGCCATTATTAAACCCACAAGCCTGACCTCTTCCCCTGTTCCTAGAGTCGTTTATATGCCACCTACATCAGGATTTCTGCTTGCTGGTGTTGAGAACCAAGCAAACAGGAACCCAGCAGCATAATACATGCGCACAGTCTGGAGAATATCCGTTTTCAAAGAGGGGTGGGAGGAGGGTAAGTGGACCCCTGGCTGAGGCAGCACAATGGCTAGATTCATGTACAGCTGGCTACGCTTCAGGGCTGTCCCATGCTGGGCACCCGTTGTTCTCCAGAAGCTATTATGACAGTGGGTGTGGGAAACGTGCTTCCTCTGACTGTTTGAGGGGAATGTTGGCAGTTTTGCTGTTAGTGCAGGATTGTGGGTCCATTGTCACAGCAGTTTTTAAGCCCAGTGTAGCTTCATATGCTTAGTACATGAAGGGAGCTAGAACTCTTAGCACAAGAGGTTTTAAATAAATACCAATATTCATCTGGGGACTGTGCTGTTCCATACCATTAGAATCCCAGACTGAAAGCTTCCACTGCAACAAGCTTAGAAGGGAAGGCAGAGGAGATACTGACATGTCCCATGCTGACAGAGAGCCTCAGCCATAAACCGAAGCTGTCCTTCCTACCAGTAGCAGAAGTATCAGTATATAAGCCTATGTTTTCTTCCAGTCCAGCAGCATTTGCACTGGAAGGGGGATAACTTTAGTTCCAGCACTGTGCCACAACTGCACTCACAGGCATGTATGGGGTCTGGTTTCTTTCCTGTTGGACAGTAACAAATATCCTGGGCAGTTCTGACCAGGTCTGTCTTTGTGGGTTCATTACAGCTATGACTTGGGCATTGAGCATCGTGATGCTACAAATGATAAAGTAACTGTGGAAGCTGCTGAAGCCATAAAGAAATACAACGTTGGTATAAAGTGTGCAACCATCACTCCTGATGAGAAAAGAGTGGAGGAGTTCAAATTGAAGCAGATGTGGAAGTCTCCCAATGGGACCATTAGAAACATCCTAGGTGGCACTGTCTTCAGGGAGGCTATTATCTGCAAGAACATTCCCCGGCTGGTGTCTGGATGGGTGAAACCCATTGTCATTGGCCGTCACGCTTACGGGGATCAAGTGAGTCACTTCAGTGCTTACCCCTCTTTTTATCTCAACAGGCTTAGTCCTGACTGGTATAGTGCTACAAAGACTTAGACATCCCTGTACTGCTGCTTTATCCCTTGCGCTCCACCTGGGAGTGGGTATTAGCTGACACTTTGTTTGTACAGCTCCTGGCAAAGTGTGGGAGAGCCTTGTTTGTCTGTCTCTTCCTTAGACAGTGTAGCTTTATAAACAGCATTCAGGGGCCTGTACTTGGATTAGATAGGCCTGTACCTAAACACAGGGTATAACTCTTCTAAGTTATTTTTCTTCACCTCTGCAGAACCCTCCTCCCTGTCAATGTCTTTAGAAAATGTCCTTTACTCTGCCCAACTTTCTACTTCTCAGAAGGACTTTTTGGTGACAAATATTGCTCACGGCAAAAGTGGATCGGAGTGAGTGATTTTTAGAAGTGGGCAAAGTTGCCTTCTGTGTGTGGGTGTGGTTTTGTTTTCATTGTTGGTTGGGTTTTGTTTGGTAGGGTTTTTTTCTAAGCTGTGATCTGCTTCTTAAACTTATTTGCACAGTACTATTGCAGGGCTGGTATTCATACTGGGCCCATCAGGCTATGGTACTGAAGTAGGGAAATATCCTTTATCAGAGCTCTCCTGGTAGAGGTGGTACAAGGCTATGGGAAGCCCTAGCTTGGCACTCGGTGTTGTGGCCTTTGGGGAGCCCAGAGGACAAGATTCAACCATACTGTTTTGCATGGGTAATGATATTCTGTAAAGCAGGAAAAAAAAGTCTTCTAGAGAGCCAAGTGCTTAAATAGATGGGTAAACCCACAAACTGAAGGCAAGTCATAAGATTAGCTGGGGTGGGAAGGTAAAATAATAAATTTCCAAGAGGAAAACAATTGCAGAGCCATGACACTAGAAAAGAATGGGGTTCAAGGTCCTTAACAGTACTGAATAATTGAGAAGGTCAAAATAATAGGAAACAATGGATTAAGGAGGAAGGATTGAAACCCTGCCAAAGTATGAGATTAAAGTGAAAGGAATAATAGAAGAACATGTAAAGGACATATGAGCAAGACACTTCTGTAACTTCAGAACAGCTCAGGGAACTGATTCCCTCAATAGGAGGGAAACTACATGAAAAGGATGATGAATTACAAAGAAATGTAACCTCAAATAGTACTGTTCAGGACAGTTGGGAAGATGAGACACCAGTTAAAAATTTGAAGTGCATGTTGGCTCTTCTTTTGAGTCTGTGTAACTCAAAGGAGCAAAATGTATACCCATTGACAGAGTTCAAAGAACTCTTACTACAGATTGACCTTTCAAATGTCATATGATGGATAGAAATATTTTTTTTTTATTAAGGTGCTGTATGATTCCCTTTTATTCATGAGATCAGTAGTTGTGATACAAATAGCCTTTTTTTAGGCAGGGAGAGGAGCCCTTTACTCACAGACCACACAACACCCTGGATACTTTGCCCTTTAAAACTGCAGTGCATCTGCAAAAATGCGTACTCTGACAATTGATGGGACCCAAGAATCTGTAAGCTCTTTTCCTTAAAGAGGAAGATCTTTTCTTTTTTTGAATATTTGTCTTTCTAATATCTAGTAAACTATTCCAATGACCATATGGCTCAGTAAACAGAGCCTGTTCAGTGGGGGGTTTTGGTACAACTGTTTTATGTTTTTCTGCACCCTGCCCTCCCGAATGCAGGTTGTCTTTTATGATTCTGTCCTCCTGATAAATGAAATCATCATGGCAATTCTTTTTTTAACAGTACAGAGCAACTGATTTTGTGGTACCTGGGCCTGGAAAAGTGGAGATGACCTACACTCCAGGAGATGGAGGCAAACCAGTCACATATCTGGTCCATAACTTTGAAAGTAGGTATTATCTCTAAGTTGTGATTAAAACTGATATTTTTGGTTTAATTCAACCTTGAAGTATCAGTCAGATCTGTTTGATGGTAAAATATATGACTTTGAGGTAGAGTCAAGGAGAAGGTATGAGCCTTCTTCATTTATCTGGGAAGTACTGAAAGGTACTTGAAATCTTCCTGGGATCAAAGAGGCATATTGCACAATTGTACTAGACTGGCCACCTGTCATGCTGCCTGTATGATGACTTTGTTAGTGGCATGTATGTTTTTCTCTTTGATTAGAGGGGAACTTGCTATTTAAACAGGGCTTAACTTAAGGGGAGATATATTTGTGAATAATTCGGGTATAATTCTTTCTGGTTTTAGTTTGTCTTACTGAGCTCTATATACCTTTGCAGTTTGTACCCTTCTTTATTAAGCAGTCTGTTTTCAGTAGAAATTAGGACTGATGCTTACTCTGCAAGTGGAAAGGAGATCTGACAAGGGTGCTCCTGACTGTGTAGGCTCTGTTTTAACAGATGCAGTCCCAAAGATGTTGGTGTCCCTCCTAGCAATACTGCTGTGCTGGTTGTAGACATTGCTAGACTCAGGAAGAGGAGTCCTGACACTGTTGGGCTTTGCATGAAAACAAATTGTTTTACTGAAAACACTTCTGTGTGAAAACAATTACACACACATTGCTAGAAGCCAGGGTGTTTCTCTAGGGACAGGATTCAGGAAAACATCACACAAGTCATCCCTCTTGCCTATCAGTGATCCAAGGGCTCAGGATTTGGAGCCTTATGGTGACCTATGTATGTGAGTATGCAATGTTTTGTTCCTAGCTACAAAAACCCAATACATCCATGTAAACCACAGAATCCTAGTTTGTATGCAGTTAGCTTGGCAAACAGGTTCCAAGACTGCTATATGACCCTCTTTTGTAATACTTGATTTCTCTGGCATCCTTGCTCACAGGAGCCTAAATCTCTACTATCTCTTGTTGCACAGCCTTTCATCTGGAGTTTACCTCCTTCGCTGCCAGGCCTAATCTGTTTTCATTTGATAGGTGACTGGTGAGCCTGTACTGGAGATGTCTGGCAGTTCCAGCTGCCAGTCTGATTCACTGCTCTGTTGCATGAGCATGCAGAAAGCAAGGAAGTGCAAAGAAGGCAGATTACTGCTGTTGCTCTGAGGCAACTCCCCACAGATAACTGTTGTGCCAGCATATCTCCACAATGCACAAGGGAAGCTTGTCCTATTGCTATACTAATGTTTAACCTTGACGCTCCGTCAAGAGACTTTAGTAGGCAGGAGGACTGTATGATTGGAACAAGGAGGCTTTTTACCTATCAGCAATAAATATTTGAATAAAACTTCATAGCTCTCATCTAGCAACTATGAAATCATGGCTTCAGAGGACACAGTCTCTGTAGCTGATCAGACTCACTATTGATGGAAGGGGGACAACATGTATTTTTGCGGGTTACAGCAGGATTTTCATTCCCTGCCAATATCAACTTTAAATGACCTTGCTTTCTTGGCAAGCAGATAACCTCCTCTGGCTTCCCTTCTTCATTCTGCATGCATGTCCATACAGTAACAACCATGTGGCAGTAAGGACAAATGGATATTAGGAAAGGATATTTTCAAAAACAAAAAATAAAAATAATAAATCTGGAGTATTTCCAGAGCAAAGATCCCTCATAAAGGCACTGGACAACAAACTAGAGGTGGTAGTAGTGAGGTGCTTAAAATTAAGTACATAGTATCTACTTTTCACTAGCAGCACAAAGAGCTGCACTCTGAAGATGACAAAGCTTTTTTAATGAAGCCCTAGACCCTGCTTTCGCCCACAGTCAGCCTCTCCAATGATCTGAATGCTGTTTTCCCCCAGGTGAGCTGGGCTGTAAGTTTAAAACACTTCCACACTGAGGCTGCTAATGCATTTGTATCACACAATCTAAGTAATGTGAGTGTTGATAGTTCCTCAGAGCCTTCTTAGGACTTTCCCTTGCACCCAGATGACTGGTATGTTCTTCCCCCAACTTTCTGGAAGTGAGCCTGGGCAGGTGAAGCAGCTGCAGGGTAGGCCAGACACATCTGCTGAAAAGATGCAGGAAGGCATTTGGGAACTTGTTTACCTGAGCTAGCAAAGCAGCCTCTGACTGCTGGAGTTCGTTCTGCAATGCAGTCAAAGTCCAAAGGTACAAAGCACTTAAAATGGGAGCAAACCCATTTCTAGCTTTGGCTAAGATACCTACTCCAAAGTGCTGTTTGCTTTGATTGAAAAATACTCTGTATTGCGTATATAGCTAGTAGGAGTTCAAGCACACTCACTCCTGTCACAGTTTTACTGCTTAGACTGGATTAGGAAGAAACTTCTTAGGGGTATTAGATGACAGTATTAAGATGTACCTAGCTGTAAAACAAAACCACCTTCCTATCCATGTGTCACAGGACTGCTGGAGTTTTGAACTGATAATGCAAAATTAATCTTTTCCTGAAAGAACCAGTCTTAAATTGAGAACTATCTCAAGACACCTGGAGATAAAACCAGCCTGTCTGCCACAGTATGCTATGGGGAGACTGTCAAATCCTTAACCAAAACTAAATCTAGTTGATTCCTATCTGTTCTTCCACTAACAGGCTGTGGTGGTGTAGCCATGGGAATGTACAATCTTGACCAGTCTATCAAGGATTTTGCTCACAGTTCCTTCCAAATGGCACTGTCTAAAGGCTGGCCTCTCTATATGAGCACCAAGAACACCATCCTGAAGAGATACGATGGCCGCTTTAAAGATATCTTCCAAGAGATCTATGACAGGTAACTAGTATAGTTGTGTACTTCCTACACAGTGCCTGAGTCTGCAGCAGGAACATCTCTTCCAGCTCTGTGAGCTGACAGTTAATTCGGCATTTTCAGACACTTAGCAGCAATCTGGGGGGACTGTGTCTTCTCTGTGGCAGTCTCCCTTGTCCTTGCAGAAGACAGTACTCAATGTTTAAAGCTCTGCTAAATGTGGCTGTGCTGTTCATCTATGTAGGCTCCTCTGTGATTCTGAAGCAGACTTGCAGTGGCCTAGCAAAAGCAAGCAAGGAGACAAAAAAAAGAGTAAAGAGGATGCAAATTGCTTTTAAGCTTGGGTTTTTTTTACTCTTATCTCTATGCCCCTCACTATGCATAATTATTTGCACAAATTGTGCAATCCCTCTTTTTATCTATATGAAAAGGTGTTCTGTTTTTTGTTTGTTTTCCAGAGAATACAAGTCCAAGTTTGAAGCCAAAAAGATCTGGTATGAGCACAGGCTCATTGATGACATGGTTGCTCAGGCCTTGAAATCTGAAGGAGGCTTTGTCTGGGCCTGCAAGAACTATGATGGGGATGTGCAGTCTGACTCTGTTGCGCAAGGTATGAGATGTTTCTTGTGCTACACTGAAGTAGGCTCAGTAGCAGTCTCTTGTGAACTTGTGTCATATATTGTGTAACGGCCCAGGAGGTGGTGTTGAGTCCTCAGAACTGACATTTCAAACCTGTGTCCAGTCATGGAGATATCAGGCAGGCAAAGAATTTGATTTCACTTTTACAAGAAAAACCATCGAGTAGATTATGTAGTTCTTCACCAGATGGCAGTTCCTACTGATGTAATAACAGATAGGCTTTCCATCCTAATGGAAGGTATCCAGACAGCTGGGGTTCTGTCACTGACAGCTTGAGTTAAGCTGACTGGTGGTGAGCATACTGGTGGGTGCTCTACAGATAAGTTAGAAAACCTTCAGGACCTAAAGCTACCTATCAGGTGTAAAGAGAGAGATCGGTATGTTTAATTTTACAGACTTGTAGTGCTTGATCAAAATCCTATATAACCAAGCTGCCTAGTGCCGAAACCAATATGGATGCAGAAACCCACAGGGCAAGATGTGTGGCTTTGTGTAATACACTCTAAAGTAGTGCCAGTAAACTGCCTCCCACAGAACAAGGATGTGTGGTGGACTACTAAACAAAGAAGCTTTAAAAGACACAGATCTCTGAAACCTACTGGGGTAGAAGTTATGTGAATGTCCAGTTTTGCCAGCTCATGGTCCCTTTCACTAGAACAGATGCTCTTGATATAAAGCAGGTTTGTTTCCTATCACCCTGTGAGGAAGATAGACTGGCAGCCTGACACTACTTATTTAGGATTCTTTGTTCTCATACTGCACCTTTTCATTAAAAATCTGTCCAGCAAGTTAGGTGAGAATACTAATTTTCTTGAAATGGTGCAAAATGTCTGCATCTCATGGTT